TATGATGCTCCAATCTCACGTTGAAAAACTATATAAATTGTAAATTCCATATAGGGGCTCAAATTATACACAAATTAGGAACTGCCTTTCCAGTTCAGGGCCATGAAATGAAAAGGTTTGACTGAGCTCTTAATTTATCCAAGGTGTTGAAGCATTGAACTTATGAGCAATTATGTTGGAGTTTGTGACAGTTGCTTTATTCTCATTACCTTCTGTTGGGTGCACCTACGTGCATCTATAATTTCTTCAGGCTGAAGTAAAACAAGTTATACTGGAAGTGCCAGAGGATAGTCCAGCAGAAGAAATGGAGGAACATACAAAGTTGGATCATTCCTCTCAAGTAGTGCGGAGCGAAGAAATGTTTTCGTTTCCTCTGAGGGAGTTTGAGGATGTGCAGAAAGCAAATGAAGCATGCCCTATAATTGAAGAAATCTCAATTCCAGCCAGAGACTCTCAAACAGTTGATGTACTGACTGCAGAGGTGGAAATGTTGAAGGTACTGCTCCTATAACTCATATAAGCTGTACCTATTAAGTGTTTTTTCTTAAATCTTGGTTATGTTTTAGATCAGCTATTAATACTAATATGAGGGGAGAATATTACACATCAGCTTTTATCGTGAAAGCTGCATTTCATGCCAAAATAAGTTTTAACAAATTTTTGTTAATGGATAAAGGAGAGAGAATAAGAAGCACAAAGAAACTATATATTCAAAACACAAAAAGAAATGTAACTAAGAGAATTGATACCACCACTATCTTTTTCTCATTTTTTGTGAGAGAAATGATAGAAAGATATTCTATAGAAGCATGGAAGTATATGAAAAATTCTTGACATGGTGGCATTTTCATTAATCCCCTAAATTATCTTAGGAAACTAAAAAATAAATATTTTCATACACGAAATAGAACCTTAATGTTTTTAGAGAAAAAGATGTATATTATTAATTTCTTGATTTCTCTTAAAGATGATTAGAATACTTATGTTGGACAACTAATGTTGAAAAGGAAGATCCTAGAATGGATATTGTTGAAAAGATAGTGAGCCCTTAGCTCAAGGTCATGTCTTCTCATCAACTTCTATGGTTCAGGCCAATGATGATGGTTCAGTCTCGTCAAATTATTACCTCTAGGTCTAGCTAGGGCTGGGAAAATATAAAATAAGTAATGGAACCCCCTTAAACTTCTAGAATAACTGTTCTAAGGTATTAGTCTCTTGATGAAAATTCTGTTACTGGCTTTGAAATTATAACATGTTACTTTTTAAAGAATCTAAAAGCCTGGTCTATGAAAATTGCAGAAAATGTTGCAGATTGAGAGACAAAGAGCTAATGATTCTGAAAGGAAGTACACTGAATCCATGGAATTAAGTGAGAGAAGACGTAAGAAATTAGAAGAAACAGAAAAAAGAGTTTATCAACTTCAGGACTCATTGAACAGGTATTACACATTTGTTCGCCTTTAAGCTTTCAAGTATATATTGGATAGATACCCATGAACTCCAAATGATGCGTGCTTTGTTTGCTCATGTTTCTAGTTCATCTTCACTTGTTCTTTCTGGTTTTTGCCATAATTTTTCCAGGTGAAACTCGCTTTCCGTGCTTGTCCAATTGTAGAAAGCATATTAAGAAAATATTTTAGTTATCTTTTAATAGGTTAATTAATACTATATTTAGCTTTTCCCATATATTGGATCCTTACAAAAAAAATTGCATGTGGCTGTTTTAGTTTCAAACTAAAATTCTCTCTGGTTTTAATATGATAATTGAATTGAAGAGTTCGAGTTAAAGAAGAACCTTTATAAGATTATCTTAGATTAAGCTGAAACTTCATAGGTTTCAATTGATGGCTCTTAATGTTGAAAATGATTTAACTTAAGCAATCATGTTGCATTGTAAATTTTGATATTTTCCAGAGCATAAATCAGCATGCAGGTACATGTATACATGTATTCATACATGTTGATATCATCTGGGTGCATGAATGATTGAAAGATCACATACACTCATGTATAGTTGAAAGCTCATATAAACGTGTTGTTAATTGTAGCTGCATCTTTTTTGGAAGTTCATACTCATACATCACTAATTTTCATACTCATATTCATGTATTTGATTAACAGTCTCGCCTATAAGGTTGATTAATAGTGAAAATATAAGGAAAAACAATAACTTAAGAAATCCAAATATTTTCTATGCTTAGGGATCTACCGTTGAGATTGAGATGTACTTAATTTCTTTAAGTTAGTCCAAAACTGTAAAGGAGTGGAATCAAGCCGATGATTGCTAAATCCTTAGCATAGAAGGCTCCGACTTTCTTCTAAAAGTGACATTGTGCCTCTTAGCCAATTTTGATATTGTTTTTATTCTGATTTTGTAATATTTTGAAGATATTTCTATTCCTATAACGGGTCATACTAATTCTTGGCTTTATGGTTTCGGATTGTATTCAAGAAGTGGTCTTGGAATTAAATCTTTGCTTCCCATTTTTTCCTATCTTCTTGGTTGGACCTGTTGGAGTTTCTGCTGGTTTACAACCAAGCATATTTGTCTCCTTCAATAAATCCAAAACATATTTTCATTGAGAGACAAATATACCTTTCTTAGATCATGCTACCTCCATGCCAATGATATGTTTGAGATGTTTGAGGTCTTTGATCTTAAAATCTCTGGCTGCATGTACACGTCTTCATCGATGTTGCTTTTCGACCAGAAGATCAAGAGCTAACTATCAAGACTTCGGGCTATTCGAATGCATACTTTATAAAATGGTTCATGCATGTTTATTACTAGGGGGCCAATCAGATCAAGTTGGTAAGGATTAAAATATCCTTTAATTTTTCTATTTTTTTAAAATAACCTTTCTTTGATCGTGCCACAATCAAGCATACCTACCTCATTTAATAAATCTAGAACATATTCTCATTGAGAGATAAGTATATCTTTCTTATATCATACCACTTCCATACCAGGAAAATACTAAAATGCTCAAGGTCTTTGATCTTGAAATCTCTTGCTAAAAGCTTCTTCAATCTCAATATTTGCTCCTCATAATCACCTATTAAGATAATGTTATTAACATACACGATTGTCAGAAAACCCCTATTTGTCTACTATAGGAAGAAGGGCAGGAAAGTTATTTCACCAACTGAGGGCAAAATGGTAAAATTGCCTGAACAGATTATGGATAGTGTTGAGTCACCAATTCAACCCTAACCATTACAACAGATCCTGCGACCACACAGCAACCAAGATGGTCGAGCGAGTTCCGTCTCCATCACCATCCATCCTTTAATGCTCATAAGCCTATAAATAGGCAAATTTTTTACGAATAGGAATTGAAGAAATACTTCCATCAGCTTTATGTTTTATGTTAAAGATCCATTTTCATCTGATTGGTTACTTTCCATACCAATGTGCCATTTTTCTCCAATGCTCTGAGCTCTTTATTGATAGCCTTTTCCCGCTCTAAGACTCTTGAGGCTCTCATGAAGAAAACTAAAAAACTGCACCCTAGTAAGAGCCAAAACAAACTTCTGATATGATGATGATAGTTCTTCATTGGAAAAAAAATTGTAGATAAGATGATTTGTGCAAGTTCTAGGACAGTTCCACCTTTGTTCCTCGTACAAGTCGAGTTGCTGCAAATTCCACGACAGGGTATTGAAGTATTGATCAAGATCAGTTCTCCCTGTCATAGGTCAAGGAAAATACTCTCTACTGCTAAAAGCTCCGTTGTTGTCTGTCTTTGAGAAAGTTTCACGAGTGGCATCCTAAATCTCATTTGTTTTCTTGAACAGATGAAAGTTCTCTCCTATTTTGTTTGTCATTGAATTGATAAGCCAAGACATAATCATACAATTTTTGGCCTTTCATACCCAATATCTTGGACTGTTCATGGTCGGTGGATCAGCGGCTCTTGTGATGTGGTCATCCTTTCCTTTCCCATACACAAACATCATATTTGACCATTCAATTTATCTGCAATATGGACATCGCGAAATTCTCCATGTTGTTGTTCCCTACTGGAACATCTTTGTGGGATACATGACTACCGACTTTGCAGTTTGGAGATGGCTGGTCATACCATATTTTGCCATGTTAATTGGTTTTAGGTTAGATGGGTAAGAGAACCATGCTATGATATCTTGAACGAAGACATAATTTTTATTCTTAATTATCTTCTACATTCTTCTGCAATTTATAGAGTAGAAACACCTATGTGGCGTCTCAAAAAATTGAGTACAAACACCTATGTGTGTCTCTTAAAATCTGAAAAATGTACTCTAAAGAATAAAGGAATGTTTTTCCTTTTTCATGATTCTAGCATGTATTTCTCTAACTATTTTATCTCATGTCTTCTCACATAAGATCATGTTTTTCCCATTTACTATCTCTTTTTGGATAATTCTAGTGAGTGTTCCGAATATATTGGAATGCATTCAATGCAAATTCCTGTGAGGTGAATGGGAGGATAGGAGGAGATATCATCTAGTGGCATCGGATGATTAGAAAACTACTGGATTAAGGTAGTTTGGAGTTCTTTTATGGATATGAACAGGGCGCTCCAGGGCAACTGGCTTTGACAGTTCATGAAGGAAAATAGTATTCTTTGGAGAAGTGTAACCGAGGTGAAGTTTGATAGTGGATAGAGGATGGTATTCCAGAATTTCATCAAGACCACATGGGAAAGGTATGTGAATAGAAATTTGTAACATGGATGGATAAATTTCAGGGGTGCATCAAGCGGAGGGTTGGCAATGGGGAAAGAATTAATTTCTGGATGGATTCTTTGTTTAGAGATAGACGTTTAGAGATTGGTTTTCCCATATTTTCATTATTGCACTATATAAAGACATTATACATGGTGAGTCGTTTAGAAACATTGGAGGGCCCCAGAAATGGCATTTGGAGTTGGTCTGAGCCTCAACGATTGGGAGATTGCTGAGTATGAGTATCTTCTTAGGTCAATATCCATAGTTCATCTGAATGGAAGCAACGATTAACTAATTTGGAGTCTCAAAGCTGAGGTACATACACAATTAAGTACTTCAACAACTGCTTCGTTAAGAACGATTCTAATGATATCAGCTTTCTGTACAAGTAAAATTTGAAAGGTGAATGCTCCTCCCGTAATCACTCTTTTTAGCTTAGGAGGTAGGGAGAGGATGTATTCTCACTATCGACATGGGGACGCAAGGAGTAAAGGAATCTTATAATCATATATTTCTGTGATGCTCGCTGGTATGTAAATTATGGACCATAGTGTATGAGATATTAGGAATCAGTTGGGTAATGGTGAGTAATTTAAGGTATGACATATGAGCTTCGAAGTGTATTAGCAGGAGGAAGAAATACACAGGTCTCATTCCCTTGCTATTTTTTGGGTTGTGTGGAAAGAAATCAATAGGAGCACTTTTGATGGATGGAAGCCGATTTTAATAGAGTTAGAAATAGATGGTTCCAGATTTTTGGTTTTTTTTATTCTAGGTCACTCTTTGCATTCTATGGAGGATCTTGGAGATCTTATTGATATATTGCTTGAATTGTAAATATATTTTTTTTCATAGGTTAGCACTCCCTTAGTGCTTGTAATTAATGATACACTATACTTTTTTCTTGATATTTCTAAAAAAACTCAGTTCAGCCATTGAATTGATGATGATATTTCAAAGTGAAGGACAACTTAGTCCCAGAAGGGAGAAATAATTCCATCCAGACGGCAATTGTGAACGTTTCATCTCAATCAGCAACAATAATCTCAGGCAACCCATGCAGCTTGAACATATTATAAATCAAATATGAACAATAGTGACAGCAGAATCAGGATAAGATTGGGGTACAAAATGTTCATATTTGGAGTATGATCGACTATTACCAAGAGAGCGGTCTTGCTTTGTGAAGGAGGAAGACCATCCACAAAATCAATAGAAACATCCGCCAAAATTTGATGTGGAGCTGGGAGAGGCTGCAGCAAGGCAGTGGGCCCAGGAAGATCAACCTTATTGCTTTGACAGCAGGCTGAAAGTGGGTACTCCCCGAGCTAATCAAGACAACAATCTGTACCCCACTCCCTAATGAGTGCACAAATCTGCATGGTTTTAGAAGACTTGGCGCTGATGAGAGCATGGATAGAGATAGCTGTCTATGGGTTTTTGACAACACGATCTTCTATTGCAGATGATGGTTTTCCTTATCTCTTGATCACATGCACACACATAGACAATAATGGCTCAATTAAAGAGAGAGCAAACAATCTCTTGATTAATAGAATACTCAGTTCTTGACTAAATTTTTCTTATATTCTCATCCTTGGCAGAATGTATTTATTATAACAGAAAGAAAGTTTCCTCAAATCTGGAACTGCTTTTTATCTAAATATTGCTACTTAAGACCTATTGAAGCTTCCACTTCTTAACATAACTGGCGTTAAATGCTTGTCCTAATTTGAACACAACATATAAAATACACATAGTATCAATATAAATTAAGCCTACTCTATTTCTTTCTACTCTTTCTCTTCTATTAGATGCTACATCTTTTTCCTTTGGTAGACTGCAGGGAAGGGCACAATGGCACCGGGATATATAACGTCAATTCTTTGAGGATCTTTATTGTCATCCATGTTTCCATATGGGATGGAACAGGCTTTCTTGTTGTTTGTGGGATGTCTCTTTGGCTATTTCTCAAATGAGCTGGGAAGCATTGCTGTTTTGATGTTTTTATTTTCCCTTCTTTTTGTTGTTTTAGGGCGATTTCTTGTCATTGAGCTTGTATTTTCTTCTCCTCTTTTGATTAATATCTTTTTCTCATTAAAAGGGATGAAAAGAAGATACGTTAAAATGATGTGGCCTCTTTCAATTGTGTCAGTTTCATCTTGTAACAAATTGATCATGAGTAGATGTTGAAGACTGCATTATACTTGACTAATACTGGATCTTGTTTAGTGTGTTTCAGGCTGTTATATAGCATGTCAGACCAATTTTTGCAGCTGAAAACAATCTTGCGTTCTCCTTTAATTTCAACCTCCGCATCTGCAGCTGTTGTGAGAGATGAATTGGTTGATACTTCTGATAACTCTGATGCTTCATCCAGTGACTCTGATTTTACTTTTCCTGCTCCAAGTCCTACCTCAGCTAATTTCTCTTCTTTCAGCTCCAGTCCCCTCCAGTTGATCGTACAGGATCTTTCGGGCAAAGAAACTAAAGGTTAGTTGTTTTACATGGTTGGATTCTGCCGCAACAAAGTGCATGATAGTTGAGCTTGTTGATTACTTAAATTAACACAATGAAAACAGAACTGAATTTATTCAAAGTCCTGGCTTTTACGAATGAAAATTGCTTGATCCAGCAATCCTTCTCTCATGCTTTTTAATGTGTGTCGGTGTTAGGTAAACTAGTTCAAAGCATTAATCATTCTTTTCTTTGAATAAAATACTCTGATAGTGACTGCACGATGATTTCAGGATCAAATGACTGGAAGGGCGAGAAGGAGGGGGCATTTGATGACTATTTCTGATGGAAATTCTTACCTGTTTTGTCCTCCTAACTTAGATTGTAATTAGGTTAAAGATAGGATTACTGGCATCATAGCTAGACTAGAATACTTAATTTGGTTATATAACACTATAGGTGGACAAGTTTCTTCTGATGCTATAGATAAGTTAGGCTGAATGATAGAGTAGTTCACTAATGTCAATATGAATTCTGTAACAATGTTCAAAATGAAAAAATACAACATCCTATAAAAGATTGTCTGAAAAACCTGCTCCAGCATCATATAGAAGGAAACCGTTATTATGAACTTGAGGACTATGTAAAGCACACTCTGGACTGATTAAACGAAAAATTCTTCAGGAGCTCACCATTTTTGTGTTGTAACATGTGTCGAGAAACGACTGACACCAGACGATGTGATCAGAATGTCCTACTCTCATATCTTAGGAAAGAATAATTCAAGTTACAGATCTTAAACATCAGCGTACAGGTAAGTTTGTGTTCTAACTCAGATTTTGTTGCTTCTTTTATGCATATTTAAGATAGTCATGTCTCAACATGGTATCAAATGTATAACCACATATTACACCTCGTCGCTATTTAAATAAAATAGTAGGAGCTCAAGAGTAAGATTTTGAACACACCAATATCATTTTGCGGAAAAATACACCCAAATTTGATGTTGGGAAATTTATTTCTGATCAATCTTAGAGTAATAAATAAATGAATGAGCAGAGTATAGTTTCATACATACAGGTTGCACTTGCCTTCATGATGATCAACAGTAGTTGTAGGCTTTGGTAAAGAAGTGTTGGGTGTAAGATATGCACTGACATTATGGAAAGATGATGGCAGCTGCTGTTATAGTCTGTTTTCAGTTCAATTGAAAACCAGAGTGAAGAAAATATTTTGAATTTGCATAAGATTGGACATGTGACAATATTACTATAAACAATAATATTAATATTGATATTATATTATTGTTGTTATTATTATTATTATTATTATTATTATTATTATTATTGTTATTTTTATTATTAAATATGTGTAATATTATTTTGGCAAACAGTAGATTGAATGCTCACCCCATTTGGAGAAGTTAATAAACCCTCAAGACAAATAATTGATTTCTGTCTTCAGAATATTAGATGAAAAAAAAAAAAAAAAACATCATTCTTTAGATCTTTTTCACCTTCTTCTACGACCAATTCATCCTCTTTTGAGTTTTTCTCTTCCTAAAACTCATTCTGTAACTTACTCATCCCTATATCTCTTATACCCATTAATTGTATATTTCACTCCAATCTTGAGTTACCATAACCGAGTTGAAGGAGAATGTGAAAAGATAATTATACCTTCCGAAGACAGGAAGAAATAGTTGGAAGCAGTCCATATCTAAGACCTAGAAAATCACGTGCTACCATTTTTTCTCACTTTGCCTTTTTGAGCCTGTATATAATGCCATCAAGATTTTGGCTGGGTTATGTCCATTTCCTTTTGATAAACATTTGATTGATCTTTACATGGAATCAAGGAGATAAAACTAAAATATGAGTAACCCATCTTCCTCCAAATGGTATACAAGTTATGGAAGAGTGTAATGCTTCTGGTTTTCATTTAAATAGAAGGAAAGACTTTGAATGAGAAACGTTTTTCCTCAATCCAGGGATTTGATTCATTGTTTTCCTTGTTTTACTTTCTCTACTTGTTTGTAACAATCTTTGATTTCTTCTTTTCTAAACCATTTACAGAAGTAAACAAGCTTTTCGTTATATCCCATAATTTAAAATACGGGTGTTCATTTATTTGAACTCGATTAAGAATCGAGTTAAAAAAGTGATTTACATTGAATGACCGAATTTTGGATCGAAATGAATTAAATTTTATTTATTTATTTTTAATTTTGGATTTTAATTTTTTTAATATTTCACTAATTTTCTTAAAAGTTTCCTATTTTTCAATTCCCACCATTTTGGTCCGGACGAAATTAGATGGGAAAAAGAAAAGATCAACCATCTAGCAACATATAACATTTTATAGCTACATGACTTCATAACATCAATCATATAGAAACATATAGCAAATACGAAAACTTTTTATAAAATTTTTGAGGAAGTTAACTAGTTTTTCGTTATATCCCACGATTTAAAATACGGGTGTTCATCTATTTGAACTCGATTAAGAACCGAGTTAAAAAAGTGATTTATATTGAATGACCATCTAGCAACATATAACATTTTATAGAGAAAAACTATTCATTATATACCAAAGAGCACACATATACTACATGACTTCATAACATCAATCATATAGAAACACATAGCAAATATGAAAACTGATATCGGGTGGCAACCAAATGATACCCCACTATCATCAAATATATACACACATATATATAAGGCAGTTTCTATAGTATTTTGTGACACTATCATCAAAAATTCCATTGACCATATAGCAGGATATACATACATTTATTCTTATGACATGTGTAAACACAATATTAATCCACTTCTCCTCTTATAAGTACATGCATCTAGTAATAGTTGTTGCCAAAATTTTTGTATCAAATAAAAGGAATCCTATAAACAAAGCTATTCTTATAAAGGACATTCTATACTTATACATCTCCTCCAAGAAAATTGTTGATCTACTATTTGATTTATATGCCAACTGCAAAGCAAAATGATTTAAACATATAGAATTAAAATTGTTAAATTTCAACCCAAAACTATTATGATATTAACAAAAATTATCGAACAAATATATAACTTAATATAAATTCTTATACGTATTCGTTACTCTTAAAAAATACGAGTTAATTATATAATTTCTGATGTGTATATTTTAATTATTGCGAATTTTCTTTATTAGAAGAGAAATACTGATAACTAGCTACATTTTGATTCATGTTGAATGTATCATGGTATACATATCCACACGTGCTTGGACAAACACATGTACATATGTATGTACGTGTATATAAATTATATATATATATATATTTTTGAAATTTTTAATTAAATTATATCAAAAGATGTTAGCATTTAATAGAGCAAGGGATCTGTACTAGATTTGCACCAGATTTGGCATAGAGAAACATCACTGCCACACTTAGTTTCTATACAGCAGGGTTCAAGTAATATCCAAAAGTAGTAGCAGACACAACGGTGAGTGGCGAGTACAATTAATAGGATGTTGTTTAATTAATTCCTGCAGCCTTTTTGAATTAGACTTTAACTCTTCTTTCTCAACTAATGTTATTTCACCAGTAACACAGAATCTACTGGTTAAAAATTTTACATTTTTTTTTTCTATATAATTCATCATTATTGTTGGTTTTTTTGGGTTCTCTCGTACATAGAAAAGATTCATATCCTGTCGAACCCACTTATTTTTAACTCATTAGCTATTAGAATTTTTATAATATACCACTTTGATTTTAAAGAACAGTAAAAAAAAATAAGTTTTCAAATACAAAAACAAGAAAAGAGAAGAGTTATAATGGTAGTTTTAGCGAGTTAAAAGTTTAACTCATTAGTATTTACGGAGTTACGGTAATAAAATTGAATTTTTATCTCTCGTAAACTATTGTTATTCATGGTAAAAAAAAAAGAAAAAGAAACGTTTCGTAATAATAATTATTTTTCTATTTAAAGTACCACAACATGCTAGCAAATTTTACCTTTTAACACTTTTAATTACAAATAATAATAATAATAATAATATTACTCTTTATATTTACTACTTCATCTCTGCCAAAGCCTAACTTTTCCTTCCCTCAAATACATTATAATTTGCTCGTATCATATTCACTTACCCTTCTATCTCTCAATCTTTCTCTCCCACTCTCTTTTTCTCTCAAGTAGGTTCACTTTCTTCTTTGTTCATGATAGTGTTTTAATTTGCTTCTTGTTTGTCGTCTGTAACAACTAATATTATTCGTCTCTTGGGTTTGTGTCTGAAAATATTAATGCAGGAATATAAATGGAGAGGAAGTATATGATGAGGAGTACTGGACACAAGCTCAGAGAGACAGATTGGAACTGTAAAAGCCTGGGCTTAGAAGGAGAGAATTCAGATGGGTTAACCTGGCCTCCCAAAAACTATGCTTGCAGCTTTTGCAGGAGAGAATTCAGGTCTGCTCAAGCTCTTGGAGGTCACATGAATGTTCACAGAAGAGATAGAGCCAGGCTCAGACAGCTACCTTCATGGCTTTTTGATTCTCCCAACTACACTAACTCTACCTTTAATAATTTTGGTCGAGTACCATCTCCTGATTATTCACTTAACTTTTTACCCACTACTCGTTCTTTGCTTTGCCCATCTCTCTTCAAACCCACTCAACACAAAAACCTTTTCGGCAACAAACCTGTTCTTGATTTGAACAGGAGTTGTAATAGAAAAAAATGTGACCTTGAAGCTTTGAAGAAAGGGGATCGGGTCACTAGCTTGGAGTTGCAGATGGGGATGAAAGATCCAGAAGAAGTTTTAGATTTGGAGCTACGACTTGGGTATTTTTAGTTTTATGAATAAATATTTATATTCCATCTTTTTATTTCTTGATATATATATATATATAGACACACTTATCAATCATGTGGCTACTCATCAAACTTCTTGGTTTAAATTTTAGTTAGCTTTCCTGCTTTGTTCATCTCAGCTTCTTCTAATACTATATATATATATATATATATAAGTTGTTTTATATATAAGGAGAAGCAAGAGAGGAATAATGGTAACTAATTAATTACTGTTCAAACATTCAAAGCCTTCTTTGCTTTAACCCTCTCAGTTTCAACATCCGAGTAGGATGTAGAAATAAGAGATTGATTATACACTAACAATGTCGATTAGCAAATGTCAACCATTGAAATCAGATCCTGAGAATGATGCAAAGTGCATTGTTAGCATCATGTACATGATATATACATATATATATATATGTATATGCTTTTCCATGGCTTTTTCTTCTTTGCCATTTGTTTTAATCAAATTCTTAGACCCAGTAAATTATAGTGTAATTATTTGGGTTCTTAAATTCTAGACATGACAGATGGGAAACTAACCCTTTCTTTGACATCAAACCATTTTTTAATATTATATAGGTGTAAATTTATATATATTTATTGATAAAAGTACATAAGAATTGTATATTTCTAACATAATTTAAGCATAAATAAATAATTTTATACAAAATCTTTCTTAAGGAAAAAAAAAAAAAAAAAAAAAACTCAGAATCTTTCTCTTTACTTGTAATAGTGTATCATGATTACTATAAGGTGTAGAGTCTGTCTTTGTTAGTTAGGTTAACTGTAACGTTGTTGAAGATGAAGAAGTTGAGATATCAGAAGTTTGAATGTTAATCCTAAGACAGACGAAGATGACATACATTGATGTATCATACATATCTCTCCTGATATGAAAGATCCTGTCATCTTTCTAATCAGAACCTTTTAATTTTCTCTATATTCTTTTTTCGAAATTTCTTGAGAGAATAATAATGGAGATTCCGAGAATAATAAGAATATAGAGAACTCTCTTTTACACACACACACAGACATACATACAGACATACATGTACATGTTCGCACAACTGAACTCATTTATGTACATATATATATATACATGTATATGTTTTTTTGGTAGAAGAAAGATGAAAAAGCAAGATAAGATATAATCACCTTTTCTATTCTTATGCATGCGTTCAACTGTGTCCTATATATACGTGTGTTGAATCGATTTGACGCAAAGTCAACAGATGTAAGTATATGTATATATAATTTAATTTATTTCTATACATACATACATATATAATAATGAGTTTTTTTTGTATTCTATGAAGTCAGAAAGCTGATAAGTTCACATAACACGTACCTTTTCTTTTCAACGCCTTGGCAGAGCTCTCGAATATTTTTATCATTGAGACTCAAATATTTTTAGTTTCTATGTATATGTATAAATGTTCACAAGACACCTAATTTAATTTGTTTAATATTTTCCTTCTAATAAGATGAATTTCTTATATTCATTACATATTTTTATCTAATATATATTCCAAATGTAATTATAAATAATACATGATTATTTATTTATCTTTAATTTCTGTATATATCGAGATTTTTTGCAAAAAAAAAAAAAATTAAGTATTAAAGATGAGGTCCTCTCTTCCTTGGTAGATGAGGTAACAACGAGAAATCTCGAGAATATAAAACTAAAGCTGAAATAATGATTCGGTCCATATATTATTTATTTTTGTTCAAATTAGTATATGTCTTTATTTTTGGATAAATTAATTATTTTACTTCAAATTTTTTTTAACTTAATTCATGTAGTCAATAAATATTAATATTGTTAAATTAGAGTGTTATGTATCAAATTTATTAACATATTTCACATTCTCATTTGTTAGAATATTAGTTAAAAGTCACGTGATATCTTATGTGACATTAAAAAAATATAGATGTAAACTAGTTTAAATTGATCTATTTTTTTTTTTATAAAAAAATCTCTCATTAATCAACCTCATTAAACGAAAAAAAGCCCCATTAAAATAAAAATACGGGCGTCCTTTAATGTGGCATAGGAAGATGAAGCAAAAGGAAAAAAAAGTGTGTGAAGGAGAATGAAGCAATACCTACTTGCCATCTTATTCTTCATGCGATTAGGGAAGTGCAAACAAGAAAAAACAAAAATTTTCCCTTTTTTTCCTTTGGTAGAAAAGTGAAAGAGATGAAAAAAGAAGGGGAAAGATAACAACATTTTATGATTTGAGAGAAATAAGTTTGAATTTGAGTGATTGTTGAAAAACCCACAATTTATTTTCTAGGAAAGAGTAATGGGGAGGAAAGAAGAATGGAGTTTGTTTAAAGCATATGTCTATGGGAAGCCATTTCTAGGTTCTTCTTTTTGTTGTTATTGCTCTTCAATGTGCCAATTTTGACGGCAAAATCTGTGGTAGAGAAGAAAATGTAGTGACTTCTCTAGAAAATACTAAGGGGACCTATGATAGAGCCACTAGTAACTTCTGAATATTTTAGTATTGAGAAAGCATGATGGAAGTTATTCAATTTTCTAAGGACAACTAAAATAATTTCAAAGAACTTGATGAGTTAGGGATAACATTCAAGTCCAAAATCTCAAGCTCTCCTTACCTTTAGCGTAAGGAATAAGACTTCTAAATATGCAAGGGAGATGAAACAAAAGCAAACCGACTTGAAGGATAAACACATAGAGGTTGTTTAGAGAAAATGTGCATGAGGCAAATGAAGCAAAAGCAAATGTGCACAAAGGAGAATCGGAGGTGCAAATATGGCTAGTAATTAGCTTTTTTTTTTCCCCTTATAGGATATATTAATATATTAATATATTTTTTATATTTATAGGTTGATCTGAATCGGTTCACATCTATATATATTTTAACATCACGTTAAATATTATGTAATATTTAATATGACATTTAATTAATATTATGATAAATAAGAACATATCATATATCAATAAATTCGACATATGACACCTTAAGTTAACGGCGTTAATTTCTATTAACAATTGAAACTAAATTATTTTCTTTATAAAAAAAATACAAAAATTATTTTAACCCAAAGTTAAGATAAAAAACTAATTGAACAAAACTAAATAATATAAAAATTATATCATAATTTAGCCGTAAAATTAAGAACTGATCTTTGAAGACCACAAATCGTAAATCTAAATAACATTTTCTTGTTTGTTTTATATGTCTTACGATAATAAATCATCATGTTTACATAAAAATAATAGATATTTTCATAAGATAAAAATACGAAAATAGTTAGATTTCGAACGAGTAGATACTCCTTCAATACATAATCTTTTATAGGAAATAAAAATTATTATTATTATTTTTTTTTTCTCAAAGTTTAATACAATAACTCTAAATATTAATTGAAATAATTTGCAAACTATTCTTCTGAAATAATATGAAGTTAGGTTAGTCTCCTTGAAATGGTATGTCTCATGGAGGAAATACAAAAGTTCCATAAATGCTTCTTCTTTGTCTTTAATTCCTAAAAGTGAATGAGAACCAAATATGGTTTTGTTAGGTATTATTGATTTAGCAATTACATTTAAGTAATAACAAAATTAAGCAAAGTGGCATCTTTAATTTCAGTATGTCATCAAGTAGATACATACATACATATATACATACATACATACACACACACATACATACACATACTGTAAATTGTAAAAAAAAACTATAAGCTTGGTCTTGATTCATTGGGAGGGAAATGTATGTAACATTTTAGACTTCTTCTGATCAATGTGATGAAGAATGAACTAGGATTGACTGATGTTTAAATCAAACAAAATTACCCAGTGATCGATTGGCTCTTGGTTTGTAATGATTCATAGATATATATGTATACATACATAGATACATATATATATATATTGTATGTAACATTTTAGACTTCTTATGATCAATGTGATGAAGAATGAACTAGGATTGACTGATGTTTAAATCAAACAAAATTACCCAGTGATCGATTGGCTCTTGGTTTGTAATGATTCATAGATATATATATATATATATACGCACATAAAATATATATTAATAATATGAATGTTGTGTTTCCCAAAACCTGAGGCGTTCTAGTTGCATGTTCCCCATAATGTGTTTTGGTGTCAGTACAGACACATACATATACATATACACACACACACACACACACACACACACACACATATATATATATATATAAGATTGATGGAGTTTGTTTCCTTAATAAGAATGACATGATGAGGTAAGCAAACCAATACAAAGTGTATTTAGGAAGAAGGTGACAAAAGAGCATGTTTTAGTGAAGGATGGGATAAAGCTACGTAGTCGGCGCAGGTCACCCATCTTTGGTCACCCTCCATTTTCCCCATTAATAATTCAATAAATATTTCCATAATTTCTATAAATATTTTTATATACAGTTTAATTTAATAATTTATACCATATTTTTCTTTATAAAAATTATAAATTTATATCCTACTATGCTTTTATATGCATATAATTAGTGTTGAAAATTTTCTTTTTAATTTTATATTTTTTTATTCGCTTTTATCAATTTATATTGACCACTTTAAAATAAAAAATAAAAAATAAAGAGAGAAATAATCGCTAATACGGCAATCGCGTGAATATATTTTTAATAATATTGTTAATATTTTATTATATATTTTAGAATTTTTAATCACGAATTAATGGTGTTTTAATTAAAAAATTTTAATTATGGAGTTGTAGTCATGGAATAATAGTATTTTTAATTTTTAATAATTATGAATTAGTGGATTAGTAATTTTCTTAATGAGTTAGTAATTATTTATTTTTTTATAACGCTTAACTTATTTTTATCATATTTAAGCAGATTATTATTCTATTTTTATAAGTATTATACATGTTGTTGGTAATAAAAATTTTTTAAAACAAAATTTAAGAATTATGTAATATTTATGCAAGAGGTAGCTTGAACTTTTTTGAATTTAATATTATAGGAGCTTTAATATATATATATATATATATATATATATATATATATATACACGTGTGTATTATTGCTTTTATGGTATATGATATGAAGAGCTGGATAAGTAACTAAATAATTGAGATGGGTTTGATAGTGGAAGAAGCCCAAATTCTTCATATCTTTCTTTTGACCCAAAAGAAAATATACACAGCTAAGGCCCACCAATTATATACTCAAGTTCACCCAAACATAATATATACATATATATATATATATATATAGAGAGAGAGAGAGAGAGAGAGAGAGAGAGATTTAGAAAATATAATGTAGAGTGAAACTGAAATAATTGTAAAATCAGCATATGAATGAGTGTGAAATCATACCTAATCATGATCACGTTTTTAATTAGAAGAAAAATTTGAGAGGTGATAAATTTGTAATTGGCGTGTGTGTACATACATACATACATATATATATATATATATATATATACACACACACACATATATTACATTTGATAAAGTTACATTTTAGTATGTAACGTTGTGTGTGGTAGTGACAAGATGTTATTCAAAGCATAGAGATGATCATATGTCGTTTATTTAAAATTCAACTTATTTAATTAAAATAACACCAACAAAATTTTATCATATGTTTATAAAAAAAATCTTGTAAATTCCCTTTTTTTTTAATAAATTTTTTTTAAAAATAAAAGATAAATTTTATATAAAAAATAAAAGAAGGAAGAAATATATATATATATATATGTGTGTGTGTGTGTGTATATATATATATATTTAATATGGAAGTAAGAAAGACAGGATTATTTGGTACAGAAGCAGTTGGAGCATTTTCCTAATAATAATAATAATAATAATAATACATTAATTAGATACTATAAAATAAACATATTGTAATTTGGATTTACTAGGAAATATCTTAAACATTTAATTTTATTATTATTTATTTATTTTATTAATACAAAATTAATTTGTATTTAATTTTTAATTACTTTCATATTTACATCGTGATACATTCAGATTCATAATTGGAGTGAACTCGGGTTATAATCAAACAGACTCGAGTTTTAACCTAATCAAACCGATTAACTCAGTTACGTTCAATTTAACTGGTAAATATTTTTAATTTGGATTAATTAATCGAGTCAGATAGAATACACTTAAATAAATAGTTGTTACGTTTGCTTCTCTATAAAAATTTATAGATTAGAATTGTGTTGTGTATCTGTATAAATTTAAGAGTGTTACACGATTGTTGTTATATATTATTTAATATATATATATATATATGAATCTACAAAAATAAAAATAAAACCCATATGTAATTTGCTAATATAAAATTAAATTTTCTTTAAGAACAATATTTTAAAAAGAGTTTATAATTTTCACATGTTGGAGTAGAGATGAGGAAGGAAAGAAGTAGGAATCTTCCTAAATTTTCACATGAATTTCATTGTAGTTTATATTTGTCCATAACTACTTACTTCTTTTCTCCCATAAAAATAATACAAACCACATCACCAGAATCAACATCATAATCTAATTAATTAATTATATACTCAACAACATATGTATATATATATATATGTATATAATATTTTCAAATTTAATTTGGGTACAATTTTAATTTTGATTAATTAATATTTTGGTCATACAACAAACATATAAGTGAAAACAGAAGCTTACAAATCTCTTGCTAGTTATATATATTTGTTTATGGGTTTTTTTTTACTTATTTATTTATTTATTACTCTCACACCTAAATAATCTAACTTCAAATATAAGAAGTATATATATATATATCCTAGATATATGCTGTATCTGATTCTGACTAATAGCTATTAACATCTTTAGAGGCTGAGAAAAGAGCCTTCTTTTCTTCATCCATCTATTTAATTTTGATGGTGATTGAAGATATGTAGATATTAAATATATATGTATACATGAGTAGCTCTCAAGAGGGTATGAATGTGATTTAAGTACTATATCCATACATGTAGGTATATGTATTCATGTATAAGCTTTAATTTGTTGATAAACATTTCTTAAGTATTTTGAAAGATGGATTTGATATTAAACAACCAAATATTAGTTGAGAAGAACACTCCTTTCCTTTATGGAGGAAATACATGCACATGGTAGGACACAAACTTCTTTGTTTTAATCAACTAATTTTGATCTTAATTGTTATCCAAGCTCCACCATACACTATATTCCAAAGTTAATCGATGTAAAAGTATAATTTTTTTATATCCAAATTCTCTCTTTACTAGCAAAAGAAAAAACAAAAAAAAAAAATATATAAAAGATGAAAAATTAGTGTCCTGTAAGATATGATCAAGTTGTGTCGTAATTGTTAAGGTGAAGTAAGTGGGTCAATTTATATAGAATATAAAATAGATTGGTAAGACTACTAAAGTTGACTCTAATGAGCAAGATAATCTATATAAGTATTGCTCTCCAGATAAATATGAATGTAAAGCGTGTATCAATCCATCCGATGTGTAAGATAGGTTAATAAAACTAGTGGGGATCAGATAAGTCCAACGAGTAACATAAATATGCACAAGTATTGTTTTTCTGATGAACATGAATGTAAAATACATGAACCAATTCATTCAAAATGTAAGACAGTCAGGTAAACCTACTAGAAGATCAAATATGTTTAATCAGTATTAAGATAATCTCTACAAACATTGCTCTTAAAATAAATAAAAATATAAAATAAGTAGATTATACTAATTCATTCAAGATATAAGACAGTCTGATAAGACCATTAAAGATCAGATGGATCCAATGAATAAAATAATCTGCCTAGACATTGTTCTCTCGTTGAATATGAATGTCGAAAATTTTGACTTGTAAATTTTTTTTAAAAGAGTCAATTAAGTGTAAAAGTTGTATCTTGACCCTTTAGAATATTTTTGTTCTTAGATGTTATGCATTTTATCTCAACCCCGTATGTCTTTTTTGTATTAACAATACTATGGAACTTACTAGTTTAAATCTAACTATATCTATGTTGATTCATCATGGATGGAAAATTATTATTTTTCCTCCATTTGATAGGGAGAAAGGGAAGAAAAAATTAGACCCTTATCATGTATTAGCTCAATACGTAAATATATATATATATATATGATATTATATACTATGGTGTGAGTCTAATAGAGGAGAAAATGGAGACTAGGTTAATAATAAAATAAATACAAATAGATGCATGAAAGGTACTGGAGCTCTAACGATGCATCCATTAGATTACGAGGCCGGCCATTAGAATAGTTATTCTAAGCTAAAATCTAACATATATCTCTCTCAATACACTTTCAGATGAACTCAATATATTAAAATGATAATTATAATAACAATTAATGACTATGCCCTTTGTTTGTCTCCATTCTCTCAACATCATCTGTTCCTCTCTATATTATACTCTCCTCTCCTCTCCTTTCTCCTTCCCTTTTTATCTTATTCCTCAAGAAATTCTCCTCTAAAATTGAACTGAATATCAATCTTGAACCCCAAGATTCTTTGAAACTGATCATACCCTGTAACCCCTTTAATGGAATCGAACCAGCAGGATCCCGCGGACTCGAAAAGCTCGAGCTGCAAAGAGGAAACCGATCAAATTCGATCAGAAAATGATCACGATATGGTCGCCGGTCGATCCTACGAGTGTGTTTTTTGCAAGCGAGGTTTCACCACAGCACAGGCCTTAGGTGGTCACATGAATATCCATAGGAAAGATCGAGCCAAGACGAGTAGCAGACCGAGCTCCATGATTGTCCCTAATTCCGTTTCAGCAGGATCTAAAGTTGATCATGATGATGATGATGATCGTCATAATTTGTTTCCTAATTTGATCCATAGATGTCCAGTATCTGATCATGATCTACAATTCTTTCCTCATGTTAATTACCAAACATTTTTTCCTGCACCATCATGGAAACCTCCTTACACTTTGAATAGTGGCGATGTGTATGTTCCGATATTGAATCAATTTCATTTGAAGAAATTTGAAGACGACGATCATGGGGATTGTTGGAGAGGAGCTCTCAGCTTAGGAGTCGGTTCTTCGCCGCATGTCGATGGCCATGGCCGTGGCCATGATCGGGAGAAAAGAGAAAGGGGAAGTGATGGGGAAGATGATGAGTTGGATTTGGAGCTTCGACTGGGTCATCATGATCATCGGTGATGATATCTTTATCAGAGTTTATATGTATAATTAATCTATCATATATATTTTAATTACTGTGTACACAGCTACATGTGGATTAATTCTTCATATATAAAGCTTGATTGTATATATGTTTCTCAGTTAACCTTGATTTCCGGGAATAATTGTCGGCCAATTTTCATGGTATATATCCATATACATACATATTATACATATATATATATATATATACCCAGAATCATATATATCCTACTATGTACCAAAGGTATGTTGTTTAGTTCCTGAATTTCTTCCTCCATAAACGTATATATTAATCTACTTAATATATATATCGTCTTAATTACAGAAATGTTCTTCTTGTATACATATATACACATACACACACATACGCACACACATATATATATATATATATATTCATATTAATCTAAATTTCTTCCTCTTATCTCTCTGAATTAATTGATTAACCCACATGTAATTCATTGTTCTTGTGGTACTTCTCTAGATAGTTTCTGAATTTCACTTTATCCTTTAAATTGGCATGAAACCCTAATATTTTGCGTCAAGGAGGATAGTACAATACTTCATGTTGGCCTGCTGCTGTGCAAAATCACATACATATATATGTATATATATATACACACCTAGAAACACACACACACACACATATATAGATGTATCTCAGAGACCCATCAGCATTAATTTTGCCTTAAAAGAGTTTTCATTTCTAACCAATATATGTTGTGCATGTATTATATCTAATTATAAATTTATAATTGTTTAATTATAAATTTATTTCATTACTTATGAAATATATAAATTATGATCATTTTATATAAATTATGATTATTTTATGATGTTAAAAGGATGTGTGACAACAATTCTGTAAATATTATCTTATGTTATATTTTGAATTTATTGTGCACTTTCCATATAGAAACTTGAAAGCTTACTCTATATATATAAGTGTGTGTGTGTATATATATATATATATATATATAGATACACACACACATATTATAAGCTTCATCATGCAACAATAAGATCATTAGATATTTCTTCTCCTGAACTGTTAGCTTAGACATAAGAAATGTTGTGACAAGCTTTGGTGAAGCTCTACATGCATACTCTCATATATGTGTTTATTATATATGTATATATTTATATATAAATATCCAATATAAATTCCTTTAGTTATATATATACACAGATGACAGATTTATACGCCATCTTACTCTATACATTTTAGATTAGTATAAAGGGATGCCTAGTTATTCTTTGTAAATTAACAAATATAATACACATCTATATAATATAAGAATATAAAGTTGTAGTTTTTTTAAAAAATATTGAATTTTTAACAATTATAATTATTTTAATTAAGAAAATTTATACCTACCAAATATTTTTCTTACCCAAAACTCTACTAATGTATCAACGAACTAAATTCTTATATTTACTTGATTGAACATTATATATTGATCATGCACGTATAAAGTTATAAGTTATATATTTTTAATGAGATTCGAACTCGTAACATTTAAATATAAATAAAAATTTTAACTATAGAATTATTTTTTTTCCGATATATCGTTATTCTTTTTAAATTTATACAACTGTGTACAATATTTTTTCTTTACAATGACTCCATTCGATCATATAGAAAATATGCACGCGATAATGTATTCATAAATCCCACATTATTTTGTAATTAAATTAGAGAAATAGGTTATTTTGGTTGAACGAGAAAAGAATAATATTAATTTTTCAAAAGCTTCAAGACAACAGCACCAGTGGTCTAGTGGTAGAATAGTACCCTGCCACGGTACAGACCCGGGTTCGATTCCCGGCTGGTG